TGTGTAAAAAGGCTGTTTGATCCTGACTTTTCTGATCCTCCCCTTCTTCCAGTGTACCCCTCTTAGCTTCTGATAAGACATATTGTGTGTGGAGTCACTCTTCACATGCTCAGTTTGGTGTGTATTGCTAGAGAGGTTTTTTTTTTTATTGGGAGAGGGCATGTGATCAGCACAGGGCCAATCAGCACTGTCTAGATAGAGGTCAGGGGTCCTGCATCCTCCTAGAGCAAAATGAAAACTCCCCCTACAAGCTTTAACATGCTCTGCTGGACACTGATAGAAGTCAGAAGACTGCTCTAACTGCTGATGAGATAAGGTATTTATCAGTTTATATTTACTAAAATAATTGCATTTCCATGTTTTGTGTACTGTGGGAGACCAGATATAGTGAATGCAGGGTCCTGGGTTTAGTAACACTTTAAATTAGAATTAAAAAAATTAAGTCCCTTGTTTTTGTGCAAAAAACCCAATACTTCTGTAAGGAGAAGGTAAATACATATTACATTCATTTAGTTAATTTGGTGTTTGTGGTTAAGATTAGTGGAAAAAAGAGTAAGAAGGGCACAAGGCCTCGTATATTACCTTAGGTACTGTTTAATGTAGAGAAATTCACACAAATAGTTATACTCACAAACCAAACTGTATAATAGGCTCATACAATCACTATGAAAACAACCTCAGTCATGAACTCAACCAGTGATGACAGATGAACCTGGGTGACATCACATGGCAGAAGCAGAAGCTAACAAATTTCCGGGATAAATCATCCTCTTAGCAGCTCTGATGGACTTATTTCTTTACAATAACTTGCACCTAAGGTAATGCACAAGGCTGGTGCGCCCTCCTTGCTCTTTGTTGTTAGGATCCTCCCAATCTGAAGAAGGGAATAAGGCCTTGAGTGAACCTGATCACCTACAGAAGTATGGAGCCAACAAGAAATATTGCTACATGATTGACCTTTATATCTGCCACTGACCCCCTACACTTTAGTGCTAGAGTGTTGCTTTTTTTATTTCCACTGGGTAAGATTAGAGGTCTGTTCAAGGTTAGGATTACTGATTATGGTTAATGGATGATGGTTATGTTTTAAGGTATTGCATATAAGGCTATATGTTAGGGCTTAATGTCAAGAGAAGGTTAAATGCTTACCATTATAGGTGCAGGTGTTGCCTGGTAAGCCTTGTTTATATTTTGGGTACTCAAACAAACATATCTTCCAGTCATAATTCTTGACTCTGTTCCTTCCACCGTTAACCACACTTTTTACCTGGTGCTGGGTTTTCAGCATCAAAAGCCAACATACCATTGAATGAAGGTGGAGTTAAGTGCCCATTTACTCACCATGCTCAGGTGCAGGCAGATGTCCTTTTATCCTTTTTCCTGACACTGACATGTGAACAGCAGCAGAGGTTTTGGAAACATATAATATATTTTTTGCAACCACTTTGCCCTGGCTCATACACACAGACATTGCTGTAAAGAGTCCATGCTTGTGCATCTTTCATAATCTGTTTTGTATTGTTCTGCAGTGTATGCATGCTCTTTGCCATCTTGAACCAGTTTTGCATTGTTGCTTCTAACTTTACACCTATTTAGTAAACTGGAAGTTACAGCTACTTTGTGTCTGATCGTTCAGCGCACTGTCTATTCTACAATATTTACACAGATAAGGTAATCAGCAATTCTATTTGTTTCAGGGGATCATATAATGTATAAAGTGTGTGTATGCAGGAGGGGTAGAATACAAGCAGACTTCTGTCTCTGTTTAATCGCCATATTACCGGAATAAAGGATTGTGTACTGTTCCCACTTACCAACAAGCAAATGCACAGCATGCTTTGCATTCTGCCACTCTGATTGCACTCTCGGTGCTTGTTCCATTTTTCGCCTCTGTTAGAACCTAACCCTCATGTTATGTGCCTAGCTCTTTTAAATAAAGCTGGCGTGTTACAGTAAAGCTCCATTACAAATGTAACTTACCTAAAATGTTTTCATGTCTCATGAGCACGGTTTGATAAATTTCTGTTTCTCTAAACCAGCTGGCTTCCTCGGTGGTAAAGAACACTTTGACTGCGACCTTCTCTCCTCGCCACTTGCCCATCCATACTTCTCCGTACCGTCCTTTGCCAATCTGTTTCACCATTTGAATCTGCTTTGCTATTGTCCTTTGCACCTATGAATAAGCCCAAAACAAACAAAATATCACTTGCAAACGTAAATGACCACCTACTATTAATATGACTAATCCAGAATAAATATCAAGGAATTAAAAAAATATATCACTGGAGATTTATTTTACTGCATGCACCATTTCTGTTTCCTCCCAAGAGTACCTGGAAATGTTACCATGGTGCTGTGCAGTCCGGCACTGTAAAATAAAATATGCTGTCATTTGGAGAAACAGCAACTTTTAGCTAGGGAAATCTTAGTCCATTAATTAACCACCCACATGTATGGGCTTACTTTATCAGAAATTTTAATGTGGAAAATGATTTAATAATATATTGCAATTGACGCTGCCCTTTTTGCTATTTTCATCTGCTTTGAGTTAGGGAAAATGTATGATTATTTACAGGGAAAGTGTTAGAATTCAACTTTGTTCAACATGTGTGGCCGTAGTCAAGCTGGGTGCACAACACTTTTAAAAAGAACACCACAAGGTACTAGCTAACTACAAAAGTTCTAACTGACCACATAATAGTAAATGCCTATGCTGTGTTCTTTCTAAGCTATGTTGCATATCTGCAGTATGTAGTAGAGGAGGTAAGCACAGCAAAGGTTTCAAAGTGTCAAGCACTGAACTCCATAATAGCTTATATGACATATTGCAATACAAGTAGATCTTTTTTTCTTGAAAAAAGTAAGTGGAAAGTTGCTAATCAAAAGAATGAGAATTTTGTTTGCTAAATAAGGGTGAAAAAATATGAAGAAATTATTACTCAGAAAGCCCAACAGTAATAGAATTGATCATCATACTGCCACATAAATATGATCCTAGGATTGCTAAATGATCACAATATATTGACCTTTGGGGTATATAGGCTAAAAGCTGAAGGGGGCAGGGGAGCTAGTGTCACCCACATATACCAATCAGCCATACTGTAACTTATGAGCACTGACAGGTTAAGTGAATAGCATTGATTATCTTGTTGCAATGGCATTTGAAAGTTGGACTATTTTAGCCAACAAGTAAACCCGTTTTCCCTGATGTGTTGAAAGCAGAAAAAATGGGCGTCACAGTTTGGTGTGTATGGGACTGCGTAGCTTCATGTCTACAGCCAAAAGTGCCTATAATGAGCATGTGAGCGTCAGAACTAGACCACAGAGCAATGGAAGAAGGTGTCATGGTCTGTTGAATCATGTTTTCTTTTACATAGTGTATATGGCCTGATGTGTGCCACTTACCTGGGGAAAAGATGGCACCTGGATGCATTATGGGAAGAAGGTAAGCCTGGAGAGACAGTGTGATACTTTGGGCAATGTTCTGCTGGGAAACTATGGGTCCTGCCAATTATGTGGATTTTCCATACCACCTACCTAACCATTATTGCTGACCAAGCATACCCCTTCATGGAAACAGTTATCCCTGATGGCAGTGGCCTCTTTCAACAGGATAATGAGCCCTGCCACACTGCAAAAATGGTTCAAGAATGGTTTGAGGAACACAACCACAAGTTTAATGTGTTGACTTGCCACCAATATTCCATATAAAGCAATTGTGGGATGTGCTGGAAAAACAAGTCCAATCCATGGAGGTTCCACCTTGCAATTTACAGGACTTAAAGGATATGCTACAAATGGCTTGGTGCCAGATACCACAGCATACCTTCAGAAGTCTAGTGGAGTCCATGTCTCAATGGGTCAGGGCTGCTGTGGCGAAAAGGGGCTGTTTTGTTGGTAAAAGGGGTACCTACTCAATATTAGGTGGATGGTCTATATATCTATGTACTGTATATCATACTGTTTAACATACAGTACATTAAATTATATATAAAGCTAATGCTGGCATTACAGAGGTCTACGTTATCATATTTATGAGCTCATTTATATTGTAATATGCACAGAAACACACACTGCCACACAATTTGACATGTATTACACTGTAGTACTGAAAGACAACATTCAATAGACTTGAATGGGACCATACAGGACAATTCACAAAATGTAGCATGCATCACTTTTAGTGTAGAGGTGAAAATGAGCCATAAACCTGGCCATTTGTGGGCAGAGACGCTATTTATTTTAACAAGATATGAAACTTTTTGCTCATAATGAAAACCCTCATAATGTACGCAAACTCTAATGGCTGGTTAACACCACTTACGGTATGGAAATGTGCATGAGAGTGTGCGTTTTTCTGCACCGAACAGAAATGAGCTGACCTTTGTAGACACACGTTGCTGCCATTAATTCATAATGGCACCCTCACGCATCTAGAAAATGCAGGTGCATTCACTGCCAATAACTGCAGTACCATACAATTTGGTGCAGTACAATTTTAAAAATCTTGCCTGCCATACTTTTGGCATGCTCGCACATATTTGCCAGTCCAATTAAATGAATGGACTTCCGGAAATGCACAGCGTGTAAATGCATGGGAACATGGTAATAATGCGCATGCCCAGATGCACCTATACAGTATGAACTGGCCCTATACTGTCATTCAGCTTTTAAGCCTGGTTCACACTAGTGCGTGCTAGTCTATTTGTCCTGTTTACCATTATCATCAAAAATGAAAGTAAAAGAAACCTCACATTTTGGGTTGTCCCCAGAAACGTAAATAGGAGGGGAAATCTTCCAATGGAGACAGTTTGCAAAAAATAAACTGAATAAGCGTTAAATGGTTTTTTCACTTTTATTTAAATGAAAACACTGACTCTATTCACCCATCCACATATTCGAGGTGGATGGGGGAATCTTTCCCACTGAGCCATTGTATTCTGACAGTGGGGAAACTTCCTCACTGTCAGAAATAAACTGATCAACAATGCTGGCTACAGCCTGCATTGCTGATCGAGTGGGGAAAATCTGTCAGGGCATTGTTACAATCTCCCTGTGCATACATAGATTAAACTTTGGTGATGTAAGACATGGATGCAGCTGCTTGGCCATGGCAACCCATTTCATGAAGCTGTCTACGCACTGTTGTTGTGCTAATCTGAAGGCAACACGAAGTTTGGAGGTCTTTAGTTATTGATTCTGCAGACAGTTGGTGACTTCTGCGCACTGTGTGCTTCAGCATGTGCTGACCCCGCTGTCATTTCACGTGGCCTACCACTTTGGGGCTGAGTTGCTGTTGTTCCCAGTTGCTTCCACTTTGTTATAAAACCACTAACAGTTGTCAGTGGAATATTTAGTAGCAAGGACATTTCACGGATGGACTTATTGCACAGGTGACAACCTATCATGGTACAATGCTTGAATTCACTGAGCTCCTGAGAGTGACCCATTCTTTCACAAATGTTTGTAGAAGCAGTCTGCATGCCTAGGTGCTTTATTTTATACACCTGTGGCCATGGAGGTGATTGGAACACCTGAATCCAATGATTTGGAGGGGTGTCCCAATACTTTTGGCAATATAGTGTATGTAACCCACCCTCCACAATCAAAGTGCTATACTTACCTAGATCTCATGCATTGTTTTCTTCTTTTGCCATCTGTTCATGCATGTGTACTTTGGCCCCATATGTTTCTATGTTGGCTGTAGATGGATGAAAGCCAATCCGTTTCCCATTGCCTAAGAAGTTTATGGGCCTGAACTGCACAGAAATGCAGTTATTTTAAAATGTGCTGATTATTGGTAGATGTTATAATGTCATAATTTTTTTCCTATTCTTTTGAGAGAAAAATGTGTTTTCAGCAGTAATTATCTTATATTATGGAAAGAAATCTCATTAAACAACAATTTTAAAGCAAATTCATGCAGCAGTAATCAGTGAAATGCTATGTATTTTTTAATTACATTTGCATTCTAGATCAATCCTCTGCTGTTCATTCGTTTAAAATAAGCACTAATCGATGGCACTGCTGCTGCATGTTAAGAGGATTTTTAGGGCCAGACACACAATTCGAACAATTACTTCATAGCTAATGTGTACAAGACAGATTTTTTTCATTGGAGTATTGGATGCTAACATGGACCTTAATCATCATTTAGCAATGGTCCTATAGCATAACTATAACTAAAATCCACTGTCACATAGATGACAATAACTTTCTTAAAAGTTTTGTTTAAACTGACTTTACTCAAGTCTCAAAGTTCTTTAAGATATCATATTATACTTGCTAGAGGGATTGACATATACAGTAAGTTATCAAGCAGCCTCTGAGCACAGTCTTCAATCGCCCCAAATATTTTGGCTGGATTCACACCTGCATGTACAACAATGCGTGTTGACCCAATATTCTCCTGCATTTTGGGATTGATCCCATTCATTTCTATAATGCTCCCAATGCACATCAACACAGCAAACAACACATATGACCTTCCCTGGCATCACAACACATTTATCTGAAAACACATAAACACAAATTGACAATGTGAGCCATCAAAATAGGCATTATCTAATTCTTTCACAGATCAATAAGGTACTTTGAAATGTATACATAAAGTTATGTATAATTTGGCAATTTAAATTGTTCTATTAGTTGTGCTTGAATACGAATGTTTCCGGAAATTACACAAATGACCGAATGTGAATTTCAATATGTAGTGCCACTTTCTTACCAGAAGAGGGAGCCCCGAACCACTTCCAGAGCTTTGAGATTGTTCAATGAGATCCTTTAGGGATTCTCCGGGAGGAATATATGTTTCATCCTGTTCTAGTCCAATGCTGTAACGGGGTCTGGCTTCTTGTCTTTTATACCTGTGAGGGCAAAAACTGTCTGTAAGTCTACAGTGTTACTAGATACAATTATGTTCATCATGTTTCTGTAAGAGTAACAACTAAATTTGTGGTTAACACGCATCTGTCTTTGCAGATAAGTAGTATAAGTATTTTTGGAATAAGCCATTAAAAAATGTGCACAAGTTGATCTACTGTGCAATAAAACTTTAATTCAACAATTTTTTCTCTAGGATTTCTTATAAAATCATTAAAGACAACCTGAAACGATTAATTGCACCTACAAAGTGCCCTGTAAATCTATATTTTGTCTTGAATCACTCCAGAATAACAGGAATGGATTTCCTGTGTCTTGAGCATAATAGCTGCATATCTGCTGTATGACATCATCTAAGGCCCAAGTGTTAAAAACATGGCCCATGGGCCGAATGCGGCCCTGCAGGCTATTTCATGTGGCCCTCTCCTGCAGCTACGCCCCCAGCTTCTTCTCAGCAGCAGAACAAGGTATGGGCGGTGTACTGTGATGTAAGGGAGGGTAGGGGACTCGACCTCTGATGGGGGGGGGGGGGGGGCTCTGCACATCTGCTTATAATTTTTATTAATACAATTCTAAGCCAGCTGAAAAGGAGGGTCTCACACTGTTGGTATCATTAGAAACTTTACTGGAGACTGCTCAGATGGAACACCATGGCAGAACCATGTTCTGTCTGAGAAGGCTCCAATAAAGATTCTTGTGGATTATATCAACAGTGTGTGGCCCTCCTTTTAGACTTGCATCAACTGCTACAGGAGTGTGAATGGACTTCGTTCCAGTCTGCATCTGCTCTTCACAGCTTAAGTCTTAAGTTACGCTGTAGCACTACCCCCTTAGGAGTTGCAAAATAAGATCTTGGACCCCCTATAGTCCTGCACAGCCAAGCATCACACATTTTCCATTCAGACATGCATCAGGAGAGAGAAAACCAGTCCTTGAGGTTTGTTTTGAAATTTTATTGGGGGTGTAGAACTTGGACGGAGTAAGGGGTATATGGGATGCCCAAGGAAGTGGCAACTGAGGACAAACTTCCTGAACTATATTACAAGTCTCATAATCAGAACTTCTCTACTTGGATAGCTGGTGTACTACCCCAGAACCCAGATAAATCCTCTTCTTTATTCAGCTGTCTGGAGGAACCCCTGAGCAAGGGAGTCCCAAAGCTGCCACTTAAAATGTAACAGTCCCGGGGTGTAGACTTAGGCTACGTTCACACTAGCCTTGTGTGCAGGCGGCAGAGAGGCGTTTGGTAAGCGTTTTTACCGCTTCCCAAACGCCTCTGCCAATTCTGCACATTACAGCACATGGTGCTGTTCTAACGGGAGCGTTTGCGTCGCGTCGCGTTGCGTCGCGGCAAAACGGACGCCTCTGGACGAGTCAGGAGGCTTTGAAGCCTCCTATTCTTGTCTATGGTGCCGCTCCGCAAACGCCCGGGCCGGCGTTTGCGGTGCGGTTGCGACGCGGTTGCGGGGCGTTTGCGGAGTGGTAACACCACTCAAACTGCATTATAGGCGTTTGTGGGGCGTTATTAACGCTCGGCAAACGCCTAGCAACCTCCGCTAAACCGCGCATGCGGCGTTTGCCGAGCGTTAATAACGCTCGGCAAACGCCGGACCAACGCTTGCCAAACGCTATAGGGGCGTTTGGCAAGCGTTGGCAAAACAGCCTAGTGTGAACGAGCCCTTAGCCAGGTTTCCAACACAAATGCTATTTCCCCTTTCTGGCCCAGGGGGTGTAGAAGCACTCACTGAGACCTTCTCCTGCGCTGCTTTTGGGTAGGTGGCTGCTACGAGGCCTATCAGGTGGGCAGCTCCTTCCCTGCCGCCAGGTGGTCCTCTCTGAGGGGGCCAGAAAAGTCCACAGCTTTCTTCCTTTCAAGGTCCCTCTGCCTGGAGGTGAGCCCCTTCCAGCCTTGGCTCCCTACCAGGCTCCTCAGCCTCATTGCTCCATCTTCCACCCACACTTCTCCTCCAATTCTCCTGCTGCTGAGCAGGCTCCCACACTTATGGGTGGCCCAGCCCCTTGCCAACCCTTCTGTTTGGGATTGGCTGAGGTCTCTCAAAAAGTGCAGCCAGCCACTCCTCAGATCCACCCACTGCCTCTAGAGCCTTGCTCCAAAGCTCCAGAGCAGGGGGAAATTCCCGAGGGGCTGGCCTGCAGAGCCTCTTATCCCCAATTCCAATTTGACCCCAGAGTAGCTAATACACCTGAGCTTCTGCTCAGCCCCTATCTAGCCATTGGAGTCTAGCTCCCCCTAGCTACTTACATTGCTAAAACCAGTAAAAATTGAATGCAAAGGCAATTATTTAATATGATAAAGAGTAGATGCATTTGTATAGTCTTACAGATACAACCAGCCCTTTGAGGGAAACCATAATGCTAATGTGGCCCATAATGAAATTGAGTTTGACACCCCTGATGTAAGGCACTTTACCCCTAATTGCTAACCTTACAAGATTTTGGAATGGGATTTGGAGATGTAACTACTTTTCAGCTCACAATTCACACTGGGGAGGAATTTGTACAAAGGCTTCATTCTGTTGATATGTGCTTTCTGCATCTGTCCTGTTGTTTCTTGAATAATTCTCCATCACTTATTAAATAACCAGTCAGTATCTTTGACATGAATGCAAAGCCCTGCCTCTACCAAGATGGACACCAACAAACAAAGACAGAACAAGAAATGGTCACTCAGTATTCTGGAAGGATCAGCTGTAGGGAGTCTACAGGAATAACTGTCTGAGTAGACTTTTGCCCTCTGCTTGCTATTTTTGAACACAACTTCCACAGTTCAGGACATCTTTAGGCCATCTTTGGACACATTCACACTAACATGATGCAACAAATGAGGTCGATGCTGATACACTTTCAGTGGATAATAAGGATAATCAGAAGGCCTATATACATTTACGTTGGATGCCCCTTTAACACTTGGTCAGTATATCTATACATATATGTGAACTACCTCCATTTTGAACATCAGAAGATTAGAATGTCAAAAAAATGAATATGTCCTGCCATTAATGCCTACAACATTTTGCTTCACAGTATTCCATTAATCCCAGCTGTACCTGTACTACTGGATTTTTTTTGCACTTGAGATTACAACTACTAGCAGTGCCAGTCATAAGCCACAACTTTTGTTTCATGGTCTGAACCATCTAATGAGAGGCTTAGAAGGCCAGCAGTTGAAAGAAGGGCCCTACTTATTATGGACTGCTTGGTCTCCATTTGGCTTCTGCTATAGCCTTTTTCAGTTCCCATTATTATCCTCCTTCCCTTATATGGCAGTAAATTCTACATCTCCTTATGCATGGCTCACTTTACAGGGTACCCTATAGGATATCCACCAAGGCATATCAAAGTTATAGCACCAATAATGCTACATACATTAAAATGGCAGTATAGCATCCCATACAATGAAGTGAACATTCTACTACATGGTGCATGTTCAGCAGACTTTTCTGCTCCCTGAAATGCTTGCCAAATCTGTATGACAGTTGGTATGAACAAAATCATACAGTAGGATTGGTTGATAAGGAAATGTTACAATTTTTTAGAACGTTTTTTGGAGATGTGCACCATTTCCTTCAAAAAAGACTTT